TGAGGAGTGTCCAGTTGATTTGGCAACATGGAGGGAATCGGTGATGCTGGAAAGTTCATTTCTGGTAGAAAGGTGGGGGCAGAAGGCTTGCTGGAGTGGGATGAAGAGTCAATGGGAGGCGAGGAGGGGAGACAGCACCGTATCAGTCAGGACAGGCTAGGGCACGCTGATGGGACAAGGGACCCAGCGTCTCCACGGCTCACAACAACAAAGAGTGGGTTCTCGCTAAGGCGGGGCAGCTGAGGCTCTGCTCGAGGACCCAGATGGAGAGCTCAGTCTCCACCCAGAACACTGCTGGTCTCGTGGCAGAGGGGACAGAGGACGTGGCCAGTGACTGGCTCTTGAGGCTTTCGTTTCCAGCAATGCACATCACTTGGGCTCATGCTTCGCTGGTCAAAGTCACTCACAGGGCCCAGCCTGTCATCAGTGGGATAGGAAACAACACTCCCAGGGGACTCAGGGAACAACATCTGTGAGCACCCAGAGGCCACTCACTGGCAGAAGCTTGGCTGTGAAGGGAGCAGAGAGACTGGGCAGGACCTGGAGGGGTGTGGGGTCCAGGGAGGTTGTTTGTTTTTTAAGATGGAAGAAACTAGAATCTGTTTGCATGTTCCTGGGGATGATCCAGGAGGAAAGAGAGAGAAAAACTGATGCATTAGGAGTGAGAGGGCCAAAGAGACAAAGACCCAGAGCTCCAAGGGAACACCTGCCACGCTGTAACGGGACGGAAGACGGTATGTGCAGAGACGATGAGTTAGCCTCTGAGGGCTTCTCTTCTCTCCAGGAGGTAAGTGGGGGTCATCAGCTGAGAGCGAAGGTAGGGAAGAGGGTGGGAGTTTGAGGAGGAAGAAGACAGAATGAAACAGGCTCTCTGTGTGGTAGGAAATCAAGCCACCCCGGTCACAGGAGAGGTCTGTGGAGACAATGAAACAGAAAAGTGTCTGCACACCCACCGCCCCAGCCCCTGCCCAAGTTCTCCTTGCCTCTAGCTGGACAGTTGGGGCTGTCTGGCCCCTCCAATGAAGCCTGCTCACGTCACTCCCCTGCTGACAGTACATTAGCTCAGTAAATATTTACTCCACCCCTTTCTCTCTGGCCAGGCACCATGTCAGGAGGGCTCTGGGGACAAAAGACCCAGTTCCTGGCCTCCGTGAGCTGACAGTCTCCCCAGATACCTTCAGGATAGTATGTTGTGGACATCTGTCACGCCTTGCGGTCACCCAGCCACTAAACCCCCTTCCTGTACTTGGGAGATCTCCCAGTTTCTGTAAATAAGGCCTTCCCTCCTTGTGGAAGCTGAAAAGGTCCATCCCTCACTTTCCCAGCCTCCCTTGCAGCTCCGGCAGGGCCCAGGGCCTGGGCTCTGCCCGCTCGACACAGCTGCCCTAGACTTCTGAGCTAGGAGTTAGTGAGGCAGATAAGCGGGGGCCCAAGCAGGATCCACGCTTGCCGGGATGGCAGCAGCGGCAGAGCCAGCGGGGCCAGGGGCTGTGGCGGGAACACTGGAGGTGCCCGCTGGAGGTGTCTTTGCTTCAGTTGGGGCATTGTTCCTGCCTGTGGAGTCCCCAACCCTCTGGGAGATTCTGTGAATGACCCAGTATCTTTTAAATAAATTTGCCTTTTATTTAAATTAGTCAAGGCAGGTGTCTGTTGCTTGCAAATCAGAATTCTCACAAATGTGAAGTCCCTCCAGCTGAGCGTGGCTCCCAAGCCCGTCCATGGTCTGGCCCTGCTCCCCTGATTCCCACTCTCCCCGACTCACGCCCCTCTCCCTGCCGTCTTGTGGCAGCAGCAGCCTAAGTTCCCTGGGGGTGGGGTGGGGGGACCACCCCTCCCTCATTGCAGGTGATTTAGGAGGCAGGGCAATCAACCCTGGCTCAGCCAATTAGACTCTCCCTCAGGAATTTGAACCTGAACGTGAAGCAGAGTGATTCGACTGTTTCACCCCGGTGGGGCTGTCCTGAGGACACTGCCCCAGGAGTTCTTTCCACTAAGACCCCCAGGGCCACCTTGGTCCCTGCCCTCCCCGGAGCTGGGCTGTTCAGCTTCTCCTTTGGGTCCCATTTCCTTTCCGCAGAGGTCCATCCAACACCCTTCTTCTTGGCTATCAGGATCCGAACTGTCTTCAGCTCTCAGGGAGCCACACGCTCTAGAGGAGCCAGGCTTCTCCCCAGCCCAGGAAGTGGGACCTTATTCCTCTTCTCCACTGTCAGCGATTGGTTTAGACAGGAGCATGTGACTCCATTCTGACCAATAAGACACAAAGAGAATCTGCCGAGAGACTTCTGGGAAAATTTGTCCTCCTCTTCCAAAGAAACACGAGGAAGGGATGTTCTCTTTTCCTGCCTCTGAGTGTGGTTGGGTGAGGATGAAATGCGTGGTGCTAAGGCACCACCTTTCAACCTTAAGGGGACCAGCCTAAAGATCAAAGCCAGCTCGGCAAAGACTACGGAGCACCGAGATGGAGAGAACCTGGGTCCATCATGACCTTGTGGAACCAGTGAGTCCACCAATCCTGGGATCTGCAAACTTCTTGGTATGTGACATATTAAATCCTCTTCTTGTTGGGCTTTCAATTACTTACAGCCAAAGTGTCCTAACTAACATACCTTCCAATGAGTTCCTCTTCTGCTTTAGTCAGCCAGACTAGATTTCTCCAGCTTGCAACCAAAGAAGTGTACCTTATATACCTGGTAACCGCATGACTTGGTGGCTTACACAGGACCTGCTCCAGGAAGCCTCCACAGACCCTACCTTCTGTGTTTTTGTGTTTTTTTTCAACTTTATTGAGACATAACTGCCCAATAAAATTGTAATATATTTGAAGCGTACATCATAATTATGTGTGTGTTTATATGTGTGTTATATACAAACATAAATTATATATAAAACAATATATATAATTTCATGAGAGCATTTAAGTTTACTCTCTTAAAAATTTTAATGACACAACATAGCATGTCAACTCTATTAGTCATGTTACATTTTAGATCCTCAGACTTTATTCATCTTATAGCTGAAAGTTTGTACTTTCAGACCAACTTCTATTTTCCCACCCCCAGGGAGTAGAATACATTGGCCAGACCCTACCTTCTGGGTTAGACCGTCCACCCTCCTCGGTGCTTTCCCTCTCACTGCACTCCCTACTCAAAGTCACCTGGCTTCACCACCAGAGGTGTGGAACTACTGGGGTGTCCAATTAGTGCCTGGTGCATGGAGCTTATCTGTGCATAACTGGTGAGTGAATGAATGAATGATTTAGCTGATGTAATTCTAGCCAAAAGCAAGGAAACCAGGTGCTTTAGTCAGCTGAGATGGCTTATAGTGGGTAAACATATACAATAGATAATATACAATAAGTTTTAGCAGCTGGAGGACCCCAGGGTAGGGACCTCATGCAGAGGATAACTGAGTTTACCAGGCCTTTCAGGTCTCACCTCACAAACCCTGCTCTCTTGACCCTTTTGCAGAATCTGTCTTGATTGGCTACTTAAGACACTCGGCAGGGAAAGCTTCCAATGGATCTGTGGTGTTCTGTGTGTTAAACTGAGCAGCAGACTCAGAGACGTTAACGTTCACATTTGCTATACCTTATATATGCTTGCCTTTACTATTTAATTAAAAAAATAAATCATGCAAAAAAAAAAAAATACCCTGCCAAGTTTAGCTGAGAATCTCAGGTCCCAGGCCTTGAACTACTTCCTCCTCTCTGTTGGTATGGCCCCGTACTTTCTTCAGGGGCCCTAGTCTGGCCAGCCTCTGACCCTTATCCAGAGAGCTTTAGCCCAGGTAGCACGGGCTTCCCGGTGTCCCCAAACCCTATTTTCCACCACCACGTTTTTCTTTAAAGTCACTCTTGATCATTTGTTTTAATTTTAAAGTAATACTTGCCAATTGTGGAAAATGTGAAAAGCATAGAACTAAAAAGGAAAAATCACCCCAATCCCATTACCCTTGACAACCATCCACAGTGCCTCGCTGTACCTTCTTAGGAGACTTCCTTCATTTACGTAGGGATATGTAAAATTTAAATAAAAATTTTATTTAAAGCAATAAAATTGGGATCGTGCTATATAAGCAGCTCTGTATCCTCCCTTTTCCGCTTAACTTATTCATTCATTCAGCAGATCTCCAGGTGTCTCCATCTGTGAGGTTCTGCTCTAAGGCAGCCCCAGGGAGCCCAGCAGACAGACTGACCCCATCCTCCAGGAGAATACGGTCTGATGGGGAAACAGACACTCGTCAAACGGCCACATCCATATATAAGCACAGCCTGGAAGGAGGAGTACAGGGAGAGAGATCCAGGGAGCTGGGAGAACTGTGGAGGCTCCCCTAGTTGGTGGGGGTGAGAGGGCTGGGAGTTTAAAGATTGAGAAGGACTCCAGTGGGATGGCTGAGGGCCTGAGGCCAGAGACAACACACAGTTAAGTGACAGAAGAAGGTGTGGTAACAGGTACGGTTTTTAGAGACTGCAGATTACCCTAGTGTATGGAGAGAAGATAATTTATTTATCTGTGAAACATTTAGATTGTTTTTCATTTTTCACTGTTATAAATTATCATGGCAAAACTGATAATATCAATTGCCTCCCGGGAGGTTCTCCTGGAAGCTTAGGGACTAGGGCGAGGGGAACTTCACCTGTATACCTGTCAGGGACTTTCGATTCATTACCGTGTGAATGTACCTATAGATGCTTTTAAGAAGTAGTTAAATTAAAACCAAATGATGTTGGAATGAACATCTTTATGCATAAAGCTTTATCCAAATTTTTCACTCTTTCCCTTAATCAGAGATTCACTGTCCAAGTCCTCTTGACACACGATAAGTCACCTTCCAGAAAGGTTGACCCATAGAGCCTTAAGTTCTGCACCCAGAAAGTCACCACCCATGGGGGCTTTCAGAGACTTGACACTTTCCTTTCTTTGTCTTCCCAACTAGGCTGTGAGCTACTCAAGAGACAAAAGCTGTGTGTCTCATACGAAGAGGAGACCTCTGGGGTGGAGAAGCAAAGGAGATGAACGTGTGTCGAATCCCTCCTGTGTGCCAGACATTCCATCCTGGGGGCATCCACCACATACACGCATCGGATGTTCTCCCCAAACTATCATGAAGGTATTCATATCCCTATTTTACAGGTGACAAGAATAAGGCTCAACAAAGTGTAGTGATTCACCCAAGACGGTGCAGCCAGGCTCCAGACCAAGAAGGGTCTGGCATCCAGTGATGGGGGGAGAGCTCTCTCTCCTTTGAGGCCGCTGCCCCCTCAGGGACCCTCCCCCACCACAAAAGGCAGATGCCCCACCTCCCAGAAACTGTGTCCTTGCTCCCTGGACAACAACTTCAGCCCCGCCCCTGTCTTCATTATTTATTTCCTCTCCTTGAGCTTCAGACTCATGAGGCTGGGGAAATGGACGAGGCAGCTGGGGAAGGAAGGGGAAATTCTGCGTAATACCATCGTCCGTATCACAAAACTTGTCTTAAGTGCCCGCCCCGGGGATTTCCTGGAGCTGGTGCAACAGAGGTGGGGCTGAAGGTCAGATTAAATTGGACTAGTAACCCCAGGGGGATGCTTGAAAGGGGGTAGCTAAGGAAAGCATTTCCGGAACGCCAGGCGGCTGAGGCAGGCAGTAGGCAGCAGTCGTAGGCAGTCGGTTGGCCAGCCGACCCGGTCAAACCTACGTAGTGGGGCTTAGTGGTGACGGGCCTGGGTTCACACATCCTCCCCCGGAAACCTGAAATCTTGCCTTTTTCCCCCAATAATGAGTTGGTATAAAAATGGATCCTGAACAAAATTGTCTGCAGTTTTCAAATTTCAAACTGCATTAGTCAAAATATATCAAATTTCCGTGTACTGACTTACCACCTGCTTAAAATCGGATCCTTTTTCAGCTGGAATATATTGAAATATGAATCACCTCCTGAGAGGAAAAGGGGAGAAGAAGTGGAAGGAAGCCCTCCTCAAAATGTGCCAGTGGGGCTTCCCTGGTGGCGCAGTGGTTAAGAGTCCGCCTGCCGATGCAGGGGACGCAGGTTCGTGCCCCGGTCCGGGAGGATCCCACATGCCGCGGAGCGGCTGGGCCCGTGAGCCATGGCCGCTGAGCCTGCGCGTCCGGAGCCTGTGCTCCGCAATGGGAGAGGCCACAGCAGTGAGAGGCCCGCGTACCGCAAAAAAAAAAAAAAAAGTGCCAGTGGGCGAACCGGAATCCTGTGCTCCTTGGGCTCCCCAGCCTCCCCCGGCCTCCCTGCGACAATGGCTCCCTGGTGGCCCATGCCCCTCAGCCATTTCCCCTTGATAAATACCTGGTTTCTAGCTCGAACCCCTATGCTCTGGGCAATCTATGCCTCAGAGTGCAGAACATGCTCATTTCAAGTCCTCCAACCTTTAAATAAGCACCTAATATGTGCTGGGCGCTCAGACTCACAGGGAGGCCGACCTCTAATCACACCGCTAAATCCTAAGGTAACTCCTTTGTCCTCATCTATTCATCCTCTTAGCAGCACTGGACAGTGCTGGCCCTCCCTCCTGGAAACACTTCCTTCACTTCAGAGATAGGGCTCAGCTGTTTTTTCCTCCTGCCTTACTGGCTGCTTTTCTCGGTCTGCTGTGCTGGGGGCTCTTCCTCGGCTTGATCTCTACATAGCCTGATTCCCCAGGCACAGCCCTGCGATCTTCTCTCTTCCATACCATACCAATCCCCGGGGTGGGGTCACCCAGGGCCAGGCTTTAAATACCGTCTCCACGGGGTGGGGGTGGTGAAGATCAGACGGTTGTCTCGGTCCTGAACTCCAGACGAGCCCATCCAATGGCCCACCTGACATTGCCTCGTGGGTATCTAATAAGCTGCTCAAACTCTGTGTGCCCTAAAGGTGTTGCCCACACAGGCTTCCTCATCTCAGTAAAACGCCAACTCCATCCTTTTAGTTGCTCAAGTTGAAAATGTAAATGGCATTCTCCATTCTTCCCTTTTCCTCATTTTCTTTTCCTTTAATCCGTCAAGTCCCGTTGTTCTACCTTTAAAATAAATCCTAAATCTGTTCTCATCACTCCATCCCCATGGCCCGCACCCTGTCCCAGGTCACCATCATCTCTCCTCTGGACCACAGCAGTGGCTTCCCCATCTGATCTCCCTGCTTTTATTTCAGTCCCATCACCACCCACGGCCCACACAGCCACGGGATCTTTAAAAATGGTAAGTGCTGTCTTGTTCCTTTCCTGCTTGAAAACTTCCAGTGGCTCCCCCATTGCACTAGAATAAAATGCAAACTTCTTACCAACCCATAACATCCTCATGACCGGCCCCCATCGCCTCCCCCACCCTCTACCATTTTCCCCACACTGGCCTTTCTGTTCCTAGACCACAGCAAGCTTATTCTTGCCTTAGCTGTTTTGTTTGGTTTTATGGGAAAATACACAGAACATAAAATGTACCATTTGAGCCATTTTATTTTTGCTGTTGGTGGTTGTGGTATTTTGCTTTTTGGTTTTTTGGGGCCGCACTGCACGGCATGCGGGATCTTAGTTCCAGGGATCGAACCCACGCCCTACAGTGGAAGCACGGAGTCTTAACCACCAGGACCACCAGGGAATTCCCAATTTGAGCCATTTTAACGTGTACAATTCAGTGGCATTTCACAATGTTGTGCAACCATCACTACTATCTAGTTCTAGAACATTTTCATCATCTCAGAGGGAAACCCCATTCCCATTAGCAGTCACACCCATCTGCCTGCCCCCCATCCAGCCCCTGGCAATCAGCAATCTGCTTTCCATCTCTCTGGATTCACTCATCCTGGATGTTTCATACAAACGTAATGATACAGTATGTTTGCCTTGGAGTTTTAGTGCTGACTGTTCCTGCATGAACCGCTCTGCCCCAGGCCCTTGCAGGACCACCTCCCTCTTAGCATTCAGGTCTCAGCTCCAGCATCACCTCCTTGTCTAAAGCAGATGCCACTGCCCACCCCAATCACTCTTTTTTTTTTTTTTTCGGTACGCGGGCCTCTCACTGTTGTGGCCTCTCCCATTGCGGAGCACAGGCTCCGGACGCGCAGGCTCAGCGGCCATGGCTCACGGGCCCAGCCGCTCCGCGGCATGTGAGATCCTCCCGGACCAGGGCACGAACCCGTGTCCCCTGCCTCGGCAGGCGGACTCTCAACCACTGCGCCACCAGGGAAGCCCCCCAATCACTCTTGATTACAGAAGTGGGCTACTCTATTTCCCTCTTAGCACTCAACACTCTTGTTTATTTTTTGTTTACATGTTCATTGTCTTTCCCCTCGTTTGCTTGTTCCCTGTGGTGTCCCAACCCCCAGGACAGTGCCAGGCACCTGGGAGGCGGTCAATGGTTATTTGCATATTGAGTTAACAAGTGCACCATCAGCCCCTTGATGGAGCCTCGAAGATGCTTATAGAGACATGGACGAGGGTGGGAACCAGCAGTGCTGCGAGGTAGTGGAGGGGTCACAGTGGGAAGGTGGCCTCCAAGGGGTAGTAGAATCTTCCCTGGCCTTCAAGGGGGAAGAAGGAGGGCATCCAGGTGGAAGGAATGGCATGGTCAAAGGCCTGGAGGCATGAGACAGCATGTCCCATTTGGAGTCCTATGATGTCTCCCCTGGTTTGCAATTTGCCCCCTGTTTTGTTTGTTTGGTTGGTTGGTTGGTTGGTTGGTGGCACTGGGTCTTAGTTGCAGCACGTGGGCTCCTTAGTTGTGGCATGCGGACTCTTAGTTGCAGCATGCATGTGGGATCTAGTTCCCTGACCAGGGATCGAACCTGGGCCCCCTGCATTGGAAGCACAGAGTCTTAACCATTGCACCACCAGGGAAGTCCCTGTCCCCTAACTGTTTCACTAGCTCTCCCACAAAGAGCCTCCCACAATATATGTCTGGGAGTTGGGTTTGATACAAGATGCAAAGTACTGAGAGTAAAGAAAGAATGGAGTCTTTTTCACTTGTTTCTTCTGCCCCCACCTAACATGTGCTGGACACCCGCGCAGAGGCAGAGGAAAACAGACTGGTTCCAAGTTTTCTGCTTGTGAGTCATCTTCAGCCACCTTTCAGAGACATGGAAGGTGGGAGGAGATGGTGATGTATATTACAGACACTTCTCAACTGTGTTCAAGGATGGGGGGCTCCCAGGATGGAGGCAGAGCTAGGACGGACCTGGGCCCCCCACCACAGGCCCTCCCCGGCCTTATCTTTCTGGGCTGAGCCAGTGGCCCCTCTGGGCACTGGGCTGTCTGTGGGCCTCATGACCTTCATTTCTCCTGATCGAATCAGGCCCAGCTGACCCAGGCCCTGTGGCTCTGGGAGTCCAGCTGAGCTCCCAGGAGAAGAGGCCCTTCCCCAAAGCCAGGAGGCTCAGGAGGGCAAATTCAATTGTGTGCAAGGCGGGAGGCATTAACCTGTCTGTGGACTGCGGTGCTCCCACCCTCTCTCCCCTCTGCCAGATGAGCCTGTCCAGGCTGCCTCTGCGGGATCCCAACCTCCCACCACCCTGAAGGCTCCCCTGCTGCCCCTGGGCTGTGCCCAACCTTTTCTGTCCCTTGGTGCCCGTAGCTCCCATTACCCCTGCCTCTAGATCAGGTTTAGAGCTAAGAAGAAAAACCAATCCAGGTGCAACTCACCCCCTCCTCGGAGGCAAGCCTATATCCTGGCCCTTCCTGCTCTGCAAGCTTCTAGGTGGAATCTGCCTTAGAAATCTTAATGGGGAAGAAAGGCCCTGGAAGCAGGAGGGGGCCATCTGGACAGAGGATTCTGAGATCTCAGATACCTAGACTGCGGTCTAGAGCTGTGTTGTTTGGTACAGAAGCCACTACCCACGTGTGGCTACCGAACCCTTGAAAAGTGCCTATTTCAAAGACTTAGTATGAAAAAGAATGCTTGCTATACTGATTACATGTTGAAATGGTAATATTTGTAAGATATTGCGTTTTTTTTTTTTAGATATTGCGTTTAATAAAAACATTTAAAAATGAATTTCACCTGTTGCTTTTTACTTTTTTAATGTGGCTGCAAGAAAATTTATATGACACGTGGCCCACGTTTCTCCTGGACAGAACCAGTCTCGAGCGATGGGCACATCTCCTGGATCCCATGGACTCCTGCCTTTCGGGGAGGGAAGCAATAGGAAGAGGGCCAGAGCCGGGCCCTCCAGAAGGTGCTGCTTCTTGAAGGAAACTAGTCCCGACACCCACTCAAAGGCTCCCCTAAATTAGCAGCTGGAAGCCTGGTGACTCCCCCACAGAAGGATGCGCCCTGGAGACAGCTCCCCAGGAAGGGCCGTGGCCTAGAGCAGAAAGCAGGGCAAGGGCTTTGCTGTCATCCACTCCTTTTTCCAGCACAGGTTGGGCATCTGTCCAGTACCATGTGGACGCAGCTGCAGGCAGGACAGACCCAGTGGTTGCCCTCACGGGGCAGCGGGCTCACCATAGCCCCTGGGTGGGCTAGGGGCATGACAAGGGTGTGCCCAGGAATTTGAGAGCCCCAGGAGACAGCTGAGCAAAGAGAACTCCCTGGAAAGATGGCGTAGCAGATCGCAACCTGCAATACTGTGGACCTGAGAGGGTGAAGAGGAGATGGGGAAAGACAGAGAAGAAGGAGAAGTAAAGGAAGATGGAAGAAAGGAGTAAGGAGAGAGAGCCGAGAAAGCAAGGTGCCCGTGGAGGGCGTGGGCTCTGGTGCCAAAAACTGATGAGGTTCCACCAGAAGAAGGGTCTGGGCAGTGGGTGAAAGAAGGCCTGGAGTGGGGCCGAAGAAGCCCATTGGAGGTTCCCGCGTGGGAACGGGGAGGGCGTGGGGTGGTAGGAGGAGGCCAGGGTAAGGTAATGGGGAGCCGTGGGTGGCGTCACGTGGGGACAAGCTGGAGCCTGATGGAGCAGGGGGCGCCTTAGTGGGACTGCTGGGCAGGAGGGGCTGGGGCCACCCCAGTCTCACTGTTGTCTCTTTTCCGATGCCCCTCAGGAGCCCTCGGCAGGGATACCCAGCGCATTTACCTGGAGGAGGAGGGTGGGCTGGGAGCACCCGGAGTGGGTCTGCCTGCCCC